TGCTGTTGTTCTTGTTGTAGTCGTTGTAGTTGTTGATTAAAAAAAAAAGCGGGTGGGGATGCAGGGGGGAGGGCGCAGCGCCTCCCCCCGCAAAGCGTTTGCAGAAATTCTGAATGGTTTTTGTTGTTGTTGTTGTTGTTGAAAAAAGCACAAAAGCAAACAAGCAAAAAAATGCAAAAAAAACAAACACAAACAAAAAAGCAAAGAAGCAAAAAAGCAAACAAGCAAAAAAAAACAAAGAAGCAAAAAAGCAAAAAAACAAAAAAAGCAAACAAGCAAAAAAGCAAAAAAGCAAAAAAAAAAAAGCACAAAAGCAAAAAAACAAAAAACAAAAGGAGAAAGCAAGATAAAACAAGAAATCAAAAAAAAACATAAAAGAAAAAATCCAAAAAACAAATATGCCTCCAATTAAAATTTGCCCGTGTAGCCATGTGAGCAGTATGGACAAACGAAATCAGCATCCCGTCCAACAAACGACTACGGATACCACAACCGGACACTCCTCTTCTCCCACCTCGTCCATAGAACTTGTTATTTTCAACGGCCTCCTTGTACTGAGAAATGTGCACATTTCGCATGTGTGAGACCACCTTGAGAGAATCTCCGCGCCCAACTATGACCTGATGAATCTGATGTGAACAGATTGGACGTTCCCATCGCACTTGAGACATTGCTCTAGCGAACCTTCAAAACTAGTGACTGTGACGGAGGAGAGCAAGTGCAGAGCCAATCCTCATCACTACCACTCATTGACCTGCAAGACTTGACAAGCTTGCGCGCTTTTGAGTTGCAAGAACATCTGTTCAACTTCGTTGCTGTTCTCAAACGCATCCGTCTTCTTGCACATGGGTGTAAGGAAACCCGCCGCAGCAATCAGATCAAGATCCTCTTTATCCTGAATTGTTGCCTCCCCTCCTCGAAGCAAAGAAGAGCAGCTGATATCAGCACTGAAAACAAAAGCACACGTCCTTCTTGTTCGATCCATTCCTCGGGGAAACGTTCTCTCGGATTGATCTTGTCCAATGCATAATAATAACTTCCGAAGAAAACCACAGGGAGGATGGGGAGAGTGGCATGATCTCCTGCACCACGGAAAACAGCTAATCGCTCCCACATTCCATTGTTCAATCCCCAAACACATAGATTGACCTTTTGAGCAAACGCGCAAGCCTGAAGGCCAAGTCCACAATTCCAGCGCTTGCGAGCCAAAGCCTTCTCAAACTCAGCAACTGATGTTTCCGGAACACCTCCATCGGCTATCTCCATAGCCAAAGGGTCTGTTGTGCAAGTTGCTTTGAGGCCGGCTCCTTCTTGATCAAATGAGTTGCCACCTTGGCTTGACACGATTTGGCCTTGGTGTCAATAGAGCCAAGAATCTTCTTTACATCGCCATTCCACTTCGCATTCTGCTGTACAATAATATATGCCAACACCCTCCATCCACATCTCCATCACCTTTGAGGTTGCGAACTGTAGTGCATCTGGCAGCGGTCACCTTTGCTTCTTCCTCAGCCACCACCTTGGTTCCCTTCAAGGCTGGTGATGTCTGTGATTCCAAGCCTTTCTTCTTTTTCTCCTCACTAGGCTTGATCTCCTCGTCCTGCAAGTCAACCTGCCTAGTTGCCACCTCATTTCCAGAAAACGAAAGAATCTTTGACTCTTCACTGTCATCCTCAATAGGATCATCTGGCTGCAACTTCTCCAGTGAGGCGTTCTATGTTTGAATCTTCCGCTGCTTCTACCATCGACAAATTGAAACATGCTTCGGATGCTCATTGTCTCCAAGCTGAACCGCATAGGCAAACTCATCATCCAAGTGCTTTGTAGTCTCATACCTTTGGAACCCTCGAGGAGGTGTCAGCATGGCTTCAACATGTCATTTCAGCTTCTCAAGCCAGTGGTCCAAGCTATTAGGGATACCAAAGTCGCTCCAGGCATCACATCTCTTTTCAGTGTTCTTAATCAAAATGCCCAACCAAGCTCCACCACCACATCAATGTGCAAGCGGTACATCCTTCGACTCTCCCGATTCTGCAACTCTGGAGAAATACTGCTGCGTAGTTTCACCTTTTTCGGGAGGAAACCATGTCGGCGCAGGAAGTGACACCACATCTTGTTTCAGCCTGGTGGCGAAAGCACCACCTTGACCAGAGAGCTTGAGGACACCCTGTATCTTTCCCTCATGAAACTTGCCATAGCCAAACAACCAGGCCGGAATGCGTTTGCCATCCAGTTGTCTTAACCTCAGTTTCTTCGCAGCCCATTAACATGAGACAAAATTGCGGGTGTCTCATGATGGTATCCACCTGGGTCTTTGTCAACAGATCCAAAACCACCGTCAAACGCAAAGTGATCAACTCTGTGTCCTTGTGTGCCATGTCCGGGGCTTCTGCATCAAGGGGAGCGGCGCCATTGAAAAAAGGTGCCTGGCTACTCAGGGTTGTGATCCTAGCCGTGAGAACCGCAGCGTGACCAAGAACTGGTAGCCCGCCAGCTTCGATCCAACAAATTCGTCCCCTTCCTTTGCCACAAGAATAATATCCTTATCGGTATAATGAATAGCTGCCAAAGCTTGCAACTCGGTCATTCTGATCACTGAATCGCACACCACCGCTGAGCCACATGGAGTGGCCCCGTGCTCCAAAGACTGTAAAACCACCTGCCAAATGGTGATCTCCTTGCTAGGGAAACTTCGTCTCAAATCAAACCTGGACAAACCATCCAAAGGACCACCATTTCCTTTGCCAGGATTCTTGCCGCCATTGTGTTTGCCTTTTCCTTTCGAGGAATCACTCTGTTGGGGACGGAAGGAGCTAACCTTCTGAGGTGTCACAAATTGAGCATAGAATTCCTGTTTCACGGGAGCATGTTTCCAAACATCGTTCTTCTCAAATTCAAATTCCTCAACTGGAGTAAAATCTACTCCATTTCGGCACCAAATTGCCCAGTGTGTGCACCAGATTCGTATGGCTCTTTTCCGTTTGCTCATCCTTTTCGCAAGATTCCAAAATCTGCTGAAGCTGGTGCATGATCTCTTTGACACCTCTCTTACATTTTGAGCCCACCCCACCCCACCCCACTAGGCAGCAGTCAATCCACCGTGAAAAAATGATGCAAACATCTGGGTCTCTTGCTGAAGAACACGCGCAAAGTCGCAGCCAGGCCAAGCCCCCTATAGAACAGCATGGCGCAAACCGACTCCATGACGTGCATGTACTGTGGTGCAAGCCGAACATCAACAGGCCACCACGCACCAGAGGGCACATGTCGTATTCCCAAACAACAAACCCGAAGCATGTTCATTGTCTCCAGTAAACTCCTCATCCATCGGCTTCGTTTTCTAATATCCGTGGGAGTTCCAAGGCTTTCCCCTCCCACGAGGAGGAGTTGGCATGGGCTCGACATGCCACTTCAATCTTTCAAGCCAATTTTTTGTGTGCTGAAAGAGGCCACCAATGCTCCGAATGCCGAAGATGTTCCAAGCGTGACATCTAGCTTCCGTGTCTTTCACTAGGGTGCCAAACCATGTTCACCACAACAGCGATGCGCTAATGACTAATGACACACTCTTTTCCAGCTTCGGAGACTGTGGAGAAATACTGCGGAGATGTTTCAGTTTTTCTCAGGCTGCATCCATGCCACTGTGGGATGACACAACATCCTGCTTCAACCCACTCGCGAAAACATCGCCTTGTGCAGAAAGTTTCAGAACGGCCTGGATAGGTCCTTCATGAAGTTTGCCATGGCCAACCACCAATCCGGAATGCGAATTCCATCCCGATCTTCCGACCTCACTTTCTTGGCATCCCAATAACTTCAAGCACCATGGAACGCAAAGTGACCTGCTCAGCATCGACCGGCGCCTTGTCACGTGCGTGTGCCGAAGCACCACTCACGATTCTTGTGTAGCCATTGCAGCATGGCCAATTTTGGCGGCCATCCCATTCTTGATCCGTCGCTTTGAACAGATTCCTCGTCCTCCTTTGCCACCAGAAATAATAGCCTTTTGAATATAATGATCATAAATTGGCGTAAGTGCTTGCAGTTCAGCCACTCGGACGACTAAATCGCACCCAACAACTGCTCCGCAGCGGGAAATCCCTTGCTCCAACGCTTTCATCAGGCTTTCATCACCACCTGCCATCGGACATCTTCTTCCTACAAAAACTCCTCAGAGCAAATCTGGACGGTTGTCTTGCGCATGCTTCGTGGCCCGGCATAGGCGCTGGAAGCGATCCAACAGAAACACTTTTTCTATCTAGCTCCGTGACCAGATGGGCTCCATCGATTTGCTGCGCAGTATCCAATCACTTTCATTTTTGAAATTTGGAAATTTCAAAATGTTCGAAACAAAACTGAAAATTGAGTATTTCCAAATCTGTTGAAATACTGACATGCGATTGAATTTGATGTTTGAATGTCAGACATCTTACACAACTCCCACTAAGCCTCTTTTGAATTTTCAAACTGATTCAAATTTTGGATCTCCAAATTCAAATTTTCACCACTCCAAACTCAAATTATTTAAGCAGGAAAAATGGGCACGACACATTCTAAATGATTTTCCGTCAAAAGGGGGGTGGTCACCTCACCCCTAGAAGACAAGTGACAGAAATGGACGAACTACCGGTTGTGTGCGCGCGTGCGGGTACAGAATCGTTTGAGGTCACAATTCCTCCATTCATCCATGGGGCGTTGGTTTTTGCAACCTCTTCCAGGTTTCTGATCTGTTTGAAGAGATCTTGTTGCACATGCACATTTGAAACAAAACTTGGCATTTTCCACATGCTTGGATGGTTTGTTTTGCCGCATTCTTCAATTTATGCTCGCTGGGTTCCATGTCACTTGGTGGATACTTCTGTGTGGCCACCCTGGGCCTCGAGTCTAGTAAAGGTTGTCATGAATTGCAAAATTCATCCATATGCTGGCATATGTTTATCATGAATTTCTCAAGGAAATTTGGGTTCCAAAAAAAGATTTGATTCAAACCCAGTCGGAGCCTTTTCCAGTGCCAGCAGACGTTTGAGCATCTGCACAGCCTGAGATGCTTATCGCCTTCTGTCCTGCGCAAAGCAAACGTTCTCCAACTCTACGCTTTTTCCCGTCCCAATCGATGAAAGCACTTTGCTAAGTATACATGCGTCCTGTCAATGCCTGGGGTCACCATACCAGGGCAAGTCTCGTATGAATGCCTTCGTAAACTAGTCAATAAAGTTCACAACCATAAGACTTGAAGAAAGCAATTGAAGAAGGCGAAAACAACTCACCTGTGACCTAGCAGCAAGCCCCTGTCACGACATCTACAACAACTCGCACCAAACCCCTCCAGGTTCATGAAATGTCCAGGCCTCTTTCAGCCCACCTCACAAAGCCACACACAGGGAAGCCACGGATTGCATATGCTGGCAGAGTCTAATTTTACTCGATGTGCCATCAAAGTGCTGTGTTGCATGCTTCACTGCAGGCACCCAGGAATCTTTCCAATTGCGTCCAAGATGCAGGCCAGAATTGAAATCGCAAATGGTTCCTCACATTTTCTTAACCCATCGCAAGGGAGACAAGTCAAGGCAGTCTGCTGATAAGCCGATAAGCCAAGAAACCCGAGTGGCATGCATCCACTAAAACCAACACATTGGCAGTCTCGTCAATAGCTTCTAGGACTGCATCAACCTGAAGACTGGTTGCAAGTTGCAAGGCATTGTTGTGCCCGATGTCCTCCCAAAGGCCGTGTGAAAAATTTAACCAGGTGCGAGCAAGACTCGATATGACAAGGTAACAAATACATCTTCGTTGTCCTGGGGATCTTCTTCAAAAGCTTCCCAAGACCTCACAATCACCTTTATGTCCACGTCCAAGGAGCAAAGTCATCATCTCTGAGCCAAACTTGATGACGATATGTCATGGTTGCATCGTCTGTGCTTCCATTCCTCGACCACTACTGTCCACTATGGCCAATGACTTGGGGTCCAACATGGTCCAACAAAATCGACAAGTCTTCACCGTCTTCACCAGCAGCAAGCGCAACAAGCCGAACAAGCCACTTCCAATTGCCAGGGCACGCATCCACAAGGCAAAAGCACTGGTCATGCGTCCTTACGAGCCGAGCTCAACAAATCTCAACAGCTGCCAAGGCACTATGTATCTCTGTATGCATGCATGCATGCATGCATGCATGCATGTGTGTATGTATGTATGTATGTATGCATGCATGCATGCATGTATGTATGTATGCATGTATGTATGCATGTATGTTTGTATGCATGCATGCATGTATGCATGTATGTATGTATGTTATGTATGTTATGTATGTTATGTAATGTAATGTAATGGACTGTAGTGTTATGTTATGTTATGTTACGTCTTGTTATGTTATGTTATGTTTTGTATGTATGTATGTATGTATGTATGCATGTATGTATGCATGTATGTATGTATGTATGTATGTTTGTATGTCTGTATGTATGTATGTATGCATGCATGTATGTATGTATGCATTTTATGTGTATATATAGATATATGTTTATTTATGCTTCTATATATATATATATGTATTTAAATACACGTATATATCTAACTGTATATGTATATGCCTGCGGACTCGTTACCGTCCCACAAATCCACACATCCGCATCCGATAGTCTGGGGTGGGGTGGGGTGGGGTGGGGTGGGATGATAACGTCATTGGCATTTCCACATGATCTTGATGCTACGCTCTATGATCTTCATTGGCAATTCCACATGATCTTGATGCTACGCTCCATGATCTTCATTGGCATTTCCACATGATCTTGATGCTACGCTCTATGATCTTCATTGGCAATTCCACATGATCTTGATGCTACGCTCTATGATCTTCATTGGCATTTCCACATGATCTTGATGCTACGCTCTATGATCTTCATTGGCAATTCCACATGATCTTAATGCTACGCTCTATGATCTTCAATTGCCATTGCACACATCCGCATCCGATAGTCTGGGGTGGGGTGGGGTGGGGTGGGGTGTTACTGAGACGTTATATATTTCCCGTTGGCATATACATGCAGACATGAATACGTTAACAATAGTTTCCTTCAGATTGTTGGATCCTCCAGAATGGGCTTGTCGTCGTGTTTGCAATGTGGACTAAAAACATCCTGAAACTTTCTTTAAGTTTTTTTTAACGGTATCTGCATGTTTGAGCATGGAAACTTGGGAATTTATACTAGTAATATATGATGTGAAGAGCCTTTATATTTTTAAGATTTCGGCGACTGTCGCACCAGAACCCTGAAGAACAGGGGGAAAGTCAAGATCCACACGGGTCACGTAGATGGATTCTGGAAGGTCCTCAAAGAAGCCATCCCTGGAAGTTTACCCTCGAAAAAGGGCCAGGCACGCAATCCTCAAATATGGAAATGCATGCGTTCTTTCCAGTGGCGGTGGGAGTGCACAGGTAAAAACCTGATGGAAACCACCGCTGACACGTTGAAGAAAATTTGAGAAAAAGTTGCGGTTGCCCTTTTTCAGGCTGAAGTCATGGAAGGGTTGTTATTCACAAAGTAGATGGACCTTTTTTTTGGAGAGGTTTTCAATGAAAGAAAACGCTCCTCGCTGCGACGAAATACTCATTTTCATCATTTTCGTGGGCCGGCAACGCTTCCGCCGGGATGTATATGTGTATTTATATATGGATATATATATATATGCGTATATATATATATATGCGTATATATATATATGGATGTGTATATATACATTTGTATATATGTTAATTGAAATATGTATATATATATATGTATATTGATATGTATATATATATGTGTGTATATATATATATGTATATTTAAATATTTATATTTATATATGTTATATATGTATATTTCAATATGTGTATATATATAATTAAATATGTATGTATATATTATATATATAATTATATATGTAAACTAAATACATGTATATGCAATATATGCATGCGTATATATCTATATATGTACAGGGTGCCCGCAGCTTGGGTATGACTTTTGGCGCTGACGCTGATGACGCATTGTTGCGACACATTGGCGATGACCCCCGGCCCTCCTGACGACGCATTAGCCCCTGACGACGCATTGTGACGACACATTGCCTGGACGCATTGACCCCTGACGACGCATTAGCCCCTGACGACGCATTGTGACGACACATTGCATGACGACACATTAACCCCTGACGACGCATTAGCCTCTGACGACGCATTGTGACGACACATTGCCTGACGACGCATTGCCCCCTGACAACGCATTAGCCCCTGACGACGCATTGTGTCGACAGATTCCCTGACGATGCATTGCCCCCTGACAACGCATTAGCCTCCGACGATGCATTGTGACGACGCATGCCTGACGGCGCATTGACCCCTGACGACGTTGTGACGACACATTGCCTGACTACGCATTGCCCCCAGACGACGCATTGCGACGACGCATTGTCTGAGGACGCATTGCCCTTGATGACGCATTACTTTTTTGGGGGGTGACATACGACGGCACATCCTGTGACGAGAGTTATATTTGCAACGATGACGGGGTGTTGATTGATTTTTTGGTTTTCTGGACGCCTATAGCATGTACCAAAACGGGGCTTACAACATTTAGTTTTGCTGATTGAAAGTTGCACGGCTCAATACTTCTTCAAATTAGTTCATACTGGTATATAAGCATGATAATCGCAATTTGTAAACCTGGGGAGGGCTTTATGGGAACTTCTAGAGAATTTGTTTTCAGCACAGGACCTGCTGAAATCCAGAACTTCTGCCAAAAACTTTGCCGCCACTGACATTTCACTGGGTAAGAAGATCAATAACAAATATTTCCGACAGTGGCCTCATCATGAGAATTCGCCGAAAGCCGGTTTTAGCTCGACGGTATATACCCAGGCTTAGAGCCGCAATGGTTTAAAATCTGTATGCATATTTAAAATTATAAAGCTATAGCCTCCAGCGCGCCCAGGACTAGCACAGAAACCTTTGAATGCTTAAAGGGGTTTCAAGACTGATTCCACATCTTTGGCGAATTACGTATTGAAACTTTTTTTTTGCTTGAGCACCCAAATGCTAAAGATGCTAAAGTGAGCAAAACTCGTCTTCAGAATTCCTTTTCGGAGGGGAATTCGTCTTCGGGCCGCAATTCGTCTTCGGGAATTCGTCTTCGGATCGCAATTCGTCTTCGGGGAATTCGTCTTCGGAATTCATCTTCGGGGGACAATTCGTCTTCGGGGAATTCGTC